GAGCTCTTCTAGGGCAGAGAATGGGTCTTCAGCGTCTTTTACCTGCATCCTTTATGTGGCCAGACCTGACATTTGATAAATAAGCAAACGCATTAGTTAATGGATGGTGGGGGGTGGTGACGGTGGGTTCAGACTATGTATACTGCCTACCTGAGTGATTATTTCACATAATGTGCTTCCAGAATTCCCTGAAAACACATGCCCTTATTTCAAAAACTAATTCTGAAAAGTGTAAAAGATGTTTCCCAGCACAAAAGTGACTCCATCAAAACTGTCAAACCCAATGATGCATTAAACTAATGCATTCAATCCTTCCTTCATTCAACAAACACTTACTGAATCTTCATTACATGCCAGGCACTATGCCAAGGTCTGGAGACAAGAAGAGAAATAAGATACAGTCTCTCATAAAGCTGGGCATCGATCACTTCTTTATAAACTTCCTATTGTGGTTGTAATGTGTGGCCAGTGTGGAGAAGGGCCGTCTGCCTCAGCCTGCACAGTCCCGGGGGCACATCCACACCTGTTCTGGGACCACCCACCAATACCTCTTTTCTTCTCCCAATTTCTGCCTTTTTCTCTCTTAGCCTGTCAAAATCTCAGGCTGAAACATTGAGTCTTTGCAACTACTGACTAATGTTTATTTTCTGTACGGTAACCTTAAAAAATTGTTTTTAACTGAAAGATTCTTTAGAGTTTTATAATTTTCAAAAGTTCCACACACATGACTTCATATAATCCCATAATAACCCCTTTTCCACCCTATTGTGTTGACTCTCCCTTCCCTCTCCTCACTGGTCATCACTAGTCTGTTCTCTGTATCTGTGAGTCTGCTGCTTTTCTGTTTTATTCACTAGCTTGTTGTATTTTTTAGGTTCCACGTATAAGGGATATCATTCAGTATTTATCTTTGTCTGACTTATTTCACTTCACATAATGCCAAGTCCCTCCACGGTACGACAAATGGCAAAATTTTTCGTTCTTTTTTATGGCTGAGTAGTATTCCATTGTGTATGCATATTCTATATGTATGTGTGTGTACACTGTATCTTCTCTATCCATTCATCTGATAATGGACACTTAGTTTGCTACCATATGTTAGCAATTATATGTAAGGTTGCTAGGAACAAAGGATTGCATGTTTCTTTTTGAATTAGCATTTTGGCATTTTTTTGAATATATATCCAGGAGTGGAATTATTAGATCATATGGTAGTTTTATTTTTAGTCTTTACAGGAATCTTCATACTGTTTTCCATAGAAGCTTCTCCAATTTACGTTCCTACCAATGGTATATGAGGGCTCCCTTATCTTCAGTTCTTACCAACATTTGTTATTTGTGTTCTTTTTGATGACAGCCATTCTGACTAGCATGAGGTTGACTATCTCACTGTGGTTTTCATTCTCATTTCACTGATGACTAGATCTGGCCTTTAAAAAAAAAAAACCTAAAATGTATTTCTTTTAAACTTAAAGCTCATCAACTCAACACATATTTATTAAATGTATAATACATTTAGGATAACTCAAAACTCTTTGTTAAGTTACTCCATCATGCCTGACTTTCTGTGATCCCAAGGACTGCAGCACACAAGGCTTCCTTGTCTTTCACTATCTCCTAGATTTTGCTCAAACTCATGTTCATTGAGTCAGTGATGCTATCCAAATATCTCATCCTCTGTCATCCCCTTCTCCTCCTGCCCTCAATCTTCCCCACCATCAGGGTTTTTTCTAATGAGTCGGTTCTTTGCGTCAGGTGGCCAAAGTGTTGGAGCTTCACCATTGGTCCTTCCAATGAATATTCAGAGTTGATTTCCTCTAGGATTGACTGGTTGGATATCCTTGCAGTCCAAGGGACTCTCAAGAGTCTTCTCCAGCACTACAGTTTAAAAGCATCAATTCTTCGGCACTCAGTCTTCTTTATGGTCCAACTTTCATGTCCATACATGACTACTGGAAAAAGCATAGCTTTAACTATATGAACCTTTGCTGGCAAAAGTGGTGTCTCTGCTTTTTAACACACTGCTTAGGTCTGTCATACCTTTTCGTCCAAGGAGCAAGCGTCTTTTAATTTCATGGCTGCAGTTACCATCTGCAGTGATTTTGGAACCCAAAAGAAGAAAGTCTCTCACTGTTTCCATTGCTTTCCCATCCATTTGCCATGAAGTGATGGGACCAGATGTCATGATCTACATTTTATGAATGTTGAATTTCTTTTTTCAGGCAAGAAAAAGAAATTTGTTAGAGGGTAAACGAGAGGGTGACTGGCCCTTAAGGAGAAGAATGTTGAGTTTTAAGCCAGTTTTCACTCTCCTCTTTCACTTTCATCAAGAGGCTCTTTAGTTCGATTTTTGGCATAAAGGTGGTGTCATCTGTGTACCTGAGGTTATTGATATTTCTCCTGGCAATCTTGACTCCAGATTGAGTTCATCTAGCCTGGCATTTCACATGATGTACTCTGCATATAAGTTAAATAAGCAGGGTGACAATATAACAACCTTGACATTCTCCTTTCCCAATTTGGAACCAGTCTGTTGTTCCATGTCTGCTTCTAACTTGCTTCTTGACCTGCATACAGGTTCCTCAGAAGGCAGGTAAGGTGGTCTGGAATTCCCATCTGTTTAAGAATTTTCCAGTCTGTTGTGATTCATATAGTCAAGGCTTTCGCATAAGCCTTCACAAAGCAGAAGTAACTGTTTTTCTAGTATTCTCTTTTTCTATGATCCAACAGATAGATGTTGGCAATTTGATCCCTGGTTCTTGTCTTTTCTAAATTCAATTTGTACATGTGGAAGTCCTCTGTTCATGTACTGTTGAAGCCTACCTTGAAGGATTTTGAGCATTACTTTACGAGCGTGTGAAATGAGCACAACCGTGTGGTAGTTTCAGCATTCTTTTGCATTGGAATGAAAAATGACCTTTTCTAGTCCTGTGACCACTGCTGAGTTTTCCAAATTTGCTGGCATATTGAGTGCAGCACTTTAACAGAATCGTGTTCTAGGATTTGAAATAACTCAGCTGAAATTCCATCACCTCCACTAACTTTGTTCATAGTGATGCTTCCTAAGGTCCACTTGACTTTACACTCCAGAATATCCTGGCTCTAGGTGAGCGGTCACACCATTGTAGTTATATGGATCATGAAGATCGTTTTGTGTAGTTCTTCTGTGTATTCTTCCCACCTTTTCTTAACATCTTCTGCTTGTGTTAGGTCCATACCATTTCTGTCCTTTACTGTGCCCATCTTTGCATGAAATGTCTCCTTGGTATCTCTAATTTTCTTGAAGAGCCCTCTAGTCTTTCCAGTTCTGTTGTTTTCTTCTGTTTCTTTGCATTGTTTGTTTAAGAAGGCTTTCTTATCTCTCCTTTGCCTTTCACTTCTCTTCTTTTCACAGTTATTTGTAAGGCCTCCTCAGACAACCATTTTGCCTTGTTGCGTTTCTTTTTCTTGAAGATGGTTATGGTCACTGCCTCCTGTATAATGTTGCGAACCTCTATCCATAGTTCTTCAGGCACTAGATCAGATCTAATCCCTTGAATCTATTTGTCATTTCCACTGTAAAATCACAAAGGATTTGATTTAGGTCATACCTAAAAACTAGGAAATCTGCGGTGATAGAAATAGTCCCCATCTTCTATCTAAATATGGGTCCTAAATTGAAATTTTTTTCTATGGGTAAATGTTCTCGGGGGGAGAAAGGTATGAATCACTCTTCAATGTGTTATCCTTTTATTACTGAGTAAAGCCTCATAGTATCAAAAGTGTGCCCCAGGGCCTAGCACTGTCTGACACAGGCGATCTGTAAGCCTAGACTCCATAGGCTTGACTTTGTTCCATAATGCATAGTTGATTCTGATGGTCACTTAGGGGGCCAGTGGTCCCCACTTGCCCAGGACTCGGGGGCTGGCAGAGTCCCTGCAAAACAGAGTGATGATAAACTCTCCTCTCACCACCAAAGTTTTTCTCTCAGAAATGAAGACACTTAAAATACAGTGAAATCCAGACACAAATCATGTTGCGAGTTCAAGGATTTCATTGTAAGATGGATTATATTCTACACACTCCATGCCAATGGTGATATACACCATTTTTGCTAGTGCACAAGATTATGTATTTTGGTCTTGTACCTCAAAATATTCCTGCTGGAGGCAGACTCTGACAGATGTTAGGCACCTACCTTTTCCCCCTGCATCCACTAAGATTCCTTTCAGGACACTAAGAAGGGTTGCCAGAAGATTGAAAGAAGTGTTAGTCACTCAGTCATGTCCGACTCTTTGCGACCCCACTGTAGCCCACCAGGCTCCTCTGTGCATGGGATTCTCCAGGCAAGAATACTGGGGTGGGTTGCCATTTCCTTCTCCAGGGGATCTTCCTGATCCAGGGACCAAACCTGGGTCTCCTGCATCGCAGGCGGATTCTTTACCATCTGAGCCACAGGGAAGTCCCAGAAGGTTACCTGGTTAAATTGGGGTGAGCCTCCTACCCTGGCCCAAATGTGCTACTTCTTAACTTCCACTGTCTCACGTCAGGACTAGAGCTTAGGTTCTGAGCAGCACAGGTGATATAGCACCTGAGTGCACAGGTGGCACAGGGCCACCCTGACTCTTTAAGGGATAAGAACATCATTTCACATTTCATTGTCCAAAGAGAAGCACCAGCATGGGAAGATCCCATGGCCAGCAGCCTTCCTGGGACCACCGTGAATTCCAATCTTAGCTCAACCAGGAAGTCTGCAACTGTGGGGCAGTTAGCAACCATCTTCCTGACTCTCTTTCCTCATCTGTAAAAGGAAGTTAATCCTATCTGCACTTAGGGGGATGAAGATCAGAAATCCAACCAAAAACCAAAACCATCCAAGCGCCTGACATAAAGTATAGATTGAGCACACCATGCTCAAATTTTAAGCAAGTAAGACCTTTAAGTTTGTACACATTTGTTAACACACACAAAATGCACACACGTGCTTCAGAATGGCAAGATGCTACTGACACAATAAGCAATGCTTTTCAGAAATATTTCCTTTATATAGAAACACAGTATTCATTTAGTAAGAAACTAACTTTTTACTCTCTTATTTGAATAAGTCCTCTCCTCCCAAGGTTTTTGATTGAAAATACAACACGATAGCATGTTTTATTGTCATTATTGTTATTTTCCATAGCATTTAATACCACATTTCCTTTTCCCACATAGAATATCACCCCATAGAAGTTTCCCAAAGGAGCCACAGCACATTCATGACAAAGACAGGAAAGAAAACCGTTTTTCAATTTCCGCTTTCAGGCAGGATGATTCAACTCAAATAATGTCAAATTTAATCAGCTATGAAACTGAAAAATGGAAACCAGCCCAAGGGAACACCATGGCCATGATCATGAACACTCCCAAGATGTGAGGGAAGAGAAGAGAAATGTCTGCCTCTTCTTCCCAAACTTCAATGTAACTTTATTTTTTAAAAAATTATAAAAAGGTATCCTCCTGCCTTCATAGTGTGAAATTTGGGTGTTTTCTCAGGACCACGTGTGGGTAAGTGGAAGGCATGTACTTGTGCAATGGGGAACAGTAACCCCTCTGAGACCTCTTTGTACCTGACAGGAGACTTGCTGATTTTCAATCTTGGCTCATTGCAGAAGAAAGAAGGGTTACATCCCTCGTTGGGGGGTGTGTGTGGAGGGGGGGGGACACAGCCACCTTCAGGGCACATGCCTGACTTCAAGTCCATACAGGTGTCCATCCACGGTTGGTGATCTTGGCTCATCGACTTTTCAGTATTCTGTAGGCCTCCCTTCACACAGTCCCTCCCCAGAAGTCTTCTGAGTGTAGTTAATGTGTTTGAGAACAGTAATGTCACCAGTCAAAGGACTGGGGGCTTCCCAAGGCACAGCCATCTTGGGTGTATTATGGAAGACAAGTCATCTCAGCTTCCCCTTCTCACTTTAGGAGCAGACACTCAGGTTCCCAATATTCAGATTTCAGTGGCTGGAGATCATGCCAGAGAAACAAAAACCCAGATGCCCAGAATGCACTGTCTCTGCACGTTCTGGCACTTTCTCCACATACCTCCATGCCACTCAAATGTCCTATAAAATATTAAATCAACTGGGCATAGCTGATTTAATGGTACAAAAAGGCTTACAAAAATACTCCCTGCACATGAAAAACAAAAACAAGAAAAAAAAATGCATGTAAACATCGCCTCTAAGTCACTGGAGAACTGTGGAGTCTTTGTCCAATGATTTGCAGTCTTAAGTGTTCAGCATTTTTTTTTTTTTTGGTGGAGGTATCAATCCATTTTTTTCTTATTAACAGAGTTCAGAGTCTGAGGCCGCCTTTGATTATGAGCTTGCGATTTGATTGGCAGGAATAGAATGATCAGGAGACTGATGATGTGTAAGTAAAAGTACATAGACCTAGGAAGAAACATACACACTGTATTTCAAATGAGGATATACAAGGGAAATGTCACATGAAGCAATTACATCATCCTTTGGCACCGGCAGACCTGACCGCCCTCGGGCTTGCCTTGATCTACTCCATAGATAACTCCCTACAGTGGGTGAGTGGGCCAAGGATGGACCAAAACCTCAGAGCTGGGCAGAGCAAACCAACCAGCCTATCTGCAGACAGACACATGGTACTATCCCACTGATGTTATAAGCAGATCAAGAGCATTAACCCCACAGCTAGAAACTCACCATATTAAAAGTATAAGGGTGCATGGAATTCAAATTCAAGCCTTACCCTATATTCCCCAAACACAAAAGCAACTGACACTTTAGCCAATGGGCTCCACTAAGTGTCAAGGGTTCTTGTAGACATGAGCCCCAAGAGTCCAGATTTCAAAAGCCTACCCCATGACTCAATAATTTTCATCCAAACTAGAACATATTTTGCTTTTGAGGTTTGTGGACTTACAGCCTAAGTGTGGTACTGGGCACAGTATAGATGTTCAGTAAATCTGTACACATCAATGAATGAAGTAATTAGGAACAGCTTTTATATGATTGCTATATATTCCTTTGGAAAAACTGAACTTAGAGTTTCTCCAATGCTTTTTGAAGAGCAGAAGAAAATAATGTTAAGGGGTCTTTACATCTCATTCCCCAGCTTCTGTGATCATAAGGTCAGGTCTACAGAATAGTCAAGAGCTCCAGCAGAAGCAAGCATACCTTTTCTTCTTTCAGTAAGTATGTACTGAGTGTGTGCACACGCCGCTGCTCAGTCATCCTTGTGACCCCAGGGACTGTAGCCCACCAGGCTCCTCTGTCCATGGAGTTTTTCAGGCAAGAATACTGGAGTGGGTTGCCATTTCCTCCTCCAGGGATCTTCCCGACCCAGGAATCAAACCCATATCTCCTACATCACAGGGGATTCTTTACCACTGAGCCACCTAGGAAGCCCACCTAGAATGTAGGAAGGCTTAAACTGGAATCTACAAACAGACAAAGACTACACCCCTTCTTTTGGGAATGGAAAAGACCAGGACAGACAAAGTAGTAGCAATTTAGCCAGCAGAGGGGTGAAGAACCACAGATGAGTGGTCATCTGATTTACTATTTAAACCAGGACATTATTGAGCGTGAAAAACAGCTCTGCAAGTATAGACTGGGATTCTCATAGGCACATCCAAAGCATAGGGAATTCCAGCTTCCAAAGCTGCTCTCCTAAAACAGACTTTGTTTTTGCCTTTTGCCTGAATCATTTACATGTGATCAAATCTACCCTGGAGCAGTTATGTTAGATTACAATCAAATATTCTGGAAGTCAAGGGGTTAAAAATTTTCTTTTCAACCTCCCAGGAAGGTTTAGTAACCTATTCTGACACTCCATACTTCTCTCCAGTGTTAAAGAACCCTTCATCTTTTTTTATTATGGAAGAACTCAGTTAACATTTATATAGTGTTCTAGCACTAAAGTAAGTATCCAGATATACAGATGAATAGGGCATAGTTCTACTCTCATGGAGTCTGCTATCTACAAAAACTCCTACACAAATTCTAACATTCTTATACACTGAATTTAGTAAGCGTTATCTAGTTAAAGACAACGTAGGAGATTTTGCTTTTGAAAATGGTTTCAGGGAAGTGTTCTGCTCTAGTCTAAATATTTCTGTCCTCCTCGAATACATACGTTGAAACCCTGATTTCCAATGTGATGGTATTGGAAGAAGTAGCCTTAGGAGTGATTTGGTTTAGAAGAGGCCATGAGGGTGGGATCCCCAGGACAGTATTAGTGCGTTTATTAGAAAATAACGGGAAATCAGAGTGTGAGCTATCTCTCTGTCCTTCTCACTGTCCCTCAACTCATCTTTTTCTCTGTCCCTGCCTCCATCAGTCTCTCTCTGCTATGTGAGGACACAGCAAGAAGGCAGACTTCTGCAAGCCTGAAAGAGCTCTCATTGGAAACCAAATCTGCTGGCACCTTGATCTTGACCTTCCCAACTTCCACCACTGCAAAGGAAAAAAAACAAAAACAAAAAACAGTCTGTTGTTTAAGTCACCCAGCCTATAGAATTTAGTCACAGAAGCCTGAACGAAGACAATTTCATTCTTTTTCTTCTTTTATTGTATTATAGTTGATTTACAATGTGTTAGTTTCAAATGTGTGAAAAAGTGATTCAGTTATACATATATTCATTCTTATTCTGTCCTTATATAGCTTATCAGAGAATATTGTGTAGAGTTCCTTGTGCCAAACAGCAGGTCCTGGTTGGTTACCTATCTTATATATAGTAGTGTGTGTATGTTAACCCCAAGCCCCTGATTTATCCTCCATACCCCCACATTTCCCCTCTGGTAACCATAAGTGTGTTTTCAGTATCTGTAAGTCTATTTTGACTTCATAATAAGTCCATGAGTTCATTTGTATCATTTTTTAAAAATCAGATTCCACATGTGGGTGATATGGTATTTGCCTTCGTCTGGCTTATTTCAGTTAGTATGACAATCTCTAGGTCTATCCATGTCACTGCAAATGGCATTATTCCATCCTCTTTATGGTTGAGTAATGTGCTTAGTCGCTCGTCATGTCTGACTCTCTGCAACCCCGTGGACTATAGTCCACCAGGCTCCTCTGTCCATGGGGATTCTCCAGGCAAGAACACTGGAGTGGGCTGTCATGCCCTCCTCCAGGGGACCAACTGTATATATATATATATGTATATATATATACACACCACATCTTCTTTATCCATTCATCTGTTGATGGACATTTAGGTTGCTTCCATGTCTTGGCTATTGTAAACAGTGCTGCAATACATATTAGGGTTCCTTCCTCTGCAATTTTTTGGAAGAGTTTCAGAGGATTGGCGTTAACTCCTCTCTAAATATTTGATAGAGTTTGCCTGTGAAGTCATCTGGTCCTGAACTTTTATTCGTTGGAAGATTTTTAATCAGTTTCAACTTTAGCACCTGAAACTGAACAGGTCTGTTCTATTTCTTCCTGGTTCAGTCTTGGAAGGTTGTACCTTTCTAAGAATTTAGCCATTTCTTCTAGGTTGTCCATGGCATATAGTTGTTTTTAGTAGCCTTTTAAGATCCTTTATATTTCTGTGGTGTCAGTTTAACTTCTTTTTCATTACTGATTTTATTGATTTGAGTTCTCTCCCTTTTATTCTTGATGAATCTGGCCAACATTTATCAATCTTGTCTACATTCTTAAAAAAGCTTTTAGTTAGAGATGAATAATGGAAAAAATCTACTTCTGCTTTGATCTATTTCTTTCCTTCTACTAACTTTGAATTTCGTTTGTCTTTCTTTCCTTANGCGTCTTTTAATTTCATGGCTGCAGTCACCATCTGCAATGATTTTGGAGCCCCCCAAAATAAAGCCTGTCACTGTTTCCACTGTTTCCCCATCTATGTGCCATGAAGTGATGGGACCAGATGCCATGATCTTCGTTTTTTGAATGCTGAGTTTTAAGCCAGCTTTTTCAGTCTCCTCTTTCACTTTCATCAACAGGCTGTTTAGTTCCTCCTTGCTTTCTGCCATAAGTGTGGTATCATCTGCATATCTGAGGTTATTGATATTTCTTCCAGCAACCTAGATTCCAGCTTGTGGTTCACCCAGCCTGGTATTTCACATGATGTCCCCTGATCGAAGTTAAATAAGCAGGGTGACAATATACAGTCTTGACATGCTCCTCTCCCAGTTGGGAACCAGTCTGTTGTTCCACGTCTGGTTCTAACTGTTGCTTCTTGACCTGCACACAGGTTTCTCAGGAGGCAGGTCAGGTGTTCTGGCATTGGTCAGGATTGTGTCAAGGGGTGTCTTTAGAGGTGGTTGTGTGGCTGAGACGGTAAAGAATCTGCCTGCAGTTCAGGAGACTGGGGTTACATCCCTGGGTCATGAAGATCCCCTGGACAAGGGAATGGCCACCCACTCCAGTATTGTTGCCTGGAGAATCCCATGGACAGAGCAACTCTAACCTTGGCGGGCTACAGTCCATGGACTTACAAAGAGTTGGACAACTAAGCGACTAACACAAGGACCAGGTGACCTCTGGGTGGGGCTGTGTTCCTGCGGATTGTTCCGTCTGAGGCATTCCAGCACTGGAGCTGTAGGCTGTTGGTTAGAGCCGGTCTTGATGCAAAAATGGCTGCCACCACTGTCCTTACCCCTCCCCCAATGGGCCACAGCCAACCCCTGTCTCCACAGCAGATCCTCCAGGACCCATAGGTCCAGCCCCAGCCCCTATGGAGTTGACTACTCTGGGCTGGCTCCCAGTGTGTACAAAGCCCTGTCTGTGCCCTCCAAGAGTGGACTCTGTCTCGCCCAGTCCTGTACTCAAGCCCCGCTGACCTCCAAGGCCAGATGCTCTGGGGTCCCTCCTCTCAGGGCTGGACCTTCATGCTGGGGAGCGTGATGTGGGGCTCAGGACCCGATCTTGTGAGAGAACCGCTGTGATTTCATTCTTTTCCAGTCTATGGGCTGCCCACCTGGTGGACAGAGGATTTGACTGTGCTGTGAAAGCACCCCTCCTACCGTCTTGTGTGGCTTCTTTTTTCTCTTTGAATATATAATATCATTTGGGGTAGGCTCCAGTCTTTTTGGTCGATGGCTGTTCAGCACTTAGGTGTGAGTTTTGTGATTTCCTGAGAGGAAGTGAGCTCAAATCCTTCTACTCTGCCATGTTTTTGGAAACACAAGTTCTTTCATAATACATTCAGATGTTCACTGGGTCTCACAACTACAAGGGAAAAAAGTAGACTGAGAAATTTAAAGCAGGATTTTTAGTCACTGCAGATTGAAAAGTGACAAGACAGAAAAACAAAGCCCGTCTGACACTTAAATGTCAATCAAGGAAGGGTACCCTGAGAAGTGGATTTGCATACGACTGCCAATCATCTCCAGTTACTGAAATTACCCACTCGAGAGGAACAGATCTGGCCAGACCCATCTCCATTAATTTCTTCGGCCAGATTCAGAGAGTCTCCTAAGAGTTTCTGAAAAAGAATTGTTTTAAAAACACTTCTGAGAGGCAATCTATAATAGCCATTGGCAACAGGCATGCAGCTGTTAAAATTCAAATTAATTAAAATTAGATTAAGTTGAAAACTGTTTCTCAGTCACACTAGACACATTTCAAAAGCTCAGTGGCCACATGTGCTGACGGCCAACCTACTGGATGGCATTTCCATCACTGTAGAAGCTTCTCCTGGAGAGAGCTGACCTAGGTAGGGATTTAAAAGTATACATAAACAGAGAGGAAAACAACACACCACTTAGGCTGAAATACTTGAAACTGACAAAGTGACACAAATGTCAATTTCACTCTAAACAGAGGTCTGTGTGAGTTTTAAGTAAATTAGATTGTTTTTAAAAACAAATGGAAATCTCCTGAGAGTGATCTGGACTGATAATGATTTCTTTCCCTAAAGCTCCTGCCTAAATGCAGAATTTAGCATACTTAGTTGGTTAAATGCATGTGATCACAAACAAATCACCACTGGTGTGTGACTCCCAAGTGATAACATTCTTCCAAAGTATTTGTCTTATAGAAATTTTTAGTGACTGCACTCCTGCTCTTGCTGTTTAAAAGAAAACAAACTTTGCAAGTGAAACTTGGGTTTTGCTGTGTGACATCTGTTAAATTACTCACCCTCTCTGAGCCTCCATGGCCATAAATAATAAACAGGGATAATGACACCTACCATTCTCTCTCCTCTGCTCACTGCTCGACCTTGGATTGGTTCTACAGTCGCCCCACGCTCATGTTTTTCTCAGGGTTTCTTCCTCTTACAGTGGAGCCTATCTGTGCTGCTCCCAGGGTTTGCAGCCTCCAGGAAAGAAAGCTCAATGCTGCTTTCTCTCAAGAGTCGGATTCCTGTTACATGCACCATGTACATGGTACAAAATCTTTGTACCATTCATTCAAGGGTCTGATCTTCGTGGGTATTTATAAATCTGTCGATTATTTCCTATCACTTAGAAGTGATCAAGCTATCTCCTCCATGGACGAAGGAATGAGTTCTATCTTCTGCTCACCATCCCAGTCCCAGCTTCTAGAGCGGTGCCTAGCATGCCGTGCTGTGCCAAGTTGCTGTGGCTGTGCAAACCTATGGCCTCAGCCTGCCAGGCTCTTCTGTCCATGGGGTTCTCCAGGCAAGAATACTGAAGTGAGCTGCCCTTCTCCAGAGCATCTTTCAGACCCAGGGATCGATTAAATGATATTGAGTTAAATACAGGCACTTCTGCTATAATATGACACACATATTCCTGGAAAAATAATATTGCATCTAGCAACATCATGTACTTAAAATACCAGGGCTGGGGTGGGGATGTTTCGCCTCTCCAGTTCCTGTTTCTTTATCTGCATAGTGACTTAGATTTTCCAAACACTGGGGGAACCCTCAGCCATCTGATTTAGGAATGCAAATCAATGTGTCTCAACGCCTGTTAAAAAAAAAAAAAAAACCTGTTTAACATAACTCCTTGTTTATTTCACGGTTCCACTTCTTTATAAAAGGTCGTCTCCTCAGGAGCAGCTCTTTCCTCTTTCCCCTCTCCAAAGAAAAGGGGCAAAAGGACTGAGGGTTACAAGTTACAAGCAGACACCTCAAAACCTATGAGACTTTTTGTAACCAGATCACTAACAAAGACAATTAGCACCTAAGCCCCAAACTCGGACAGCCCAGGAGGATAGCTCAGCTGGACTTAAAGGCTGCTTCAGAGAGTGTTAAAATGTACAAGATAATAAAGGGCAAATGCTGGCTGGAGGGCACTGGGAAAGGGAAAGGAAAATGGAGCTGTGAGCTTGTAGGGCTGCTCGGAGGGAGCGGGCATAGGTGGTAAAACCAAGATGGTGCAGCCTCGGGGGGGCAGGTACCTCTGGGAAGAGGGAGCCTCGTACAGGCGCGACAGCTCATGGCTCCTATCTCTGCAGCAGCTGAACTGAGGGGTTTTTTGGCTGAAGATTTTAATTCTTTTTCCACTAATCTGGCATCCCTTGTCTAGATAAAGCTGTATATAAACCAGTTCAACTTCCATGTTATCTGGACATTAACTCCTATGACCTAACTGGAATTATAGAAACAGACTTCAACCTGAAAAGGAAAAAAGAATTCCTACCTCTAGACTCTGATACCTATACTGAGCAGTGAGAGTATCTTTGATCACTCCTAACCAGTGTATCCAGTCTCTGATGTACAGTAAGGCACGTTTGCATGTCTATTTCCAAGCCACTTTTCTGACTGTAGCTATGGCCCAAACTTAATCTACAGAAGTCCCTTCAAATCAGTAAACAATACAAGTCAGTATTTACCGAGCAGACTACAGTGTCCAACACTGGGCTGGGTTCTTTGTATGTCTGCCTCATTCAATCCTGACAAAGGTGTTTTGAGATGAATTCTATTCTTACCTTCATTTTACAGTTGAGAAAACACAGGTAAAAGAGGTTAATAACTTGCCAGAGGTCACACAACCATTTCTCTGAGAGTAGAGAAATATGACTAATTCAACAGAGGAGTGAAACAAGAAAAGTAATCAAGAAGAGGTTTGCGGTTCAGCTGGAGGGCTGGTGTTTGAATACAAGGGGCTGACACGTTTTCCCTAAAGGCCTCGTCTGTGGGGTGAATCCAGCTCCTGCCTGCTTCTGTCCCTCTTGGGGTGCCCCAAGGCCTCCAAAAGAGCCTAACCCCAGGAAAAAGAGGTAAGGGCAGTGAACTCACCCTCTGAGCTTGTAATCCAGACTCACCCCGTAGGGATTCACTACCATAAGCATCCCTTACTTATATTAGGAATGGCTCAAGGGGCACTCTGCTCCATCTGCGTTACTATTTGTTGGCATCCTTGCTCCTAAAGCCTTCTCTAGACATTTTCCCCTCGAGACTGTACATAGAAACTGTCAGTACTGGCTGATTCAGTTTACCAGCTCCTAAGTCAAACACCGAGGTTACCAGACGAGTTTTCTACAGAGCAGTCGGGAACAAGGGAAACTTACTTGTACAAGCTGATGGTGGGTTCCACGGCCAGCATAACGAAGGGGGCCACCGTGTAAGAGACGGCCAGCTGAGTAGCAGCCCAGGTGACTATGTCATAAGCAACCTTGAGGGCTTTTGAAGAAAGGAAGTAATGTCTGTAGTTTTTCCTCACCTGCTCGCCAAGGAAGTCGTGGGGGGGCGGGGTGCAAAAAATAAACACTTTTATTCCATGCATGCAGGTAGTTCACCTCAGGAACACAGGAGATAAAAACTACTAAACCATCTGGGTTCTATTTTCAACCAAAAATACCATTATAGTTTTTCTTGTTATTTTTAAAAAGTACACATCCATTCACTGTGGAAAAATGTTTAAAGAACTAAGCAGTCAGATTTTTTTTTTTTAACATCTCCCAGAGAAAAGCATTGTTGAAAAACGTTTTCAAGTCTCTCTTCTATTCGTACATATTCATACTTATATTTCCAATGGCATCACTAGATGGTTAGCCTGTTTTTTCACTTAGCAACATAGCATGAACTTTTTTCTATGTCAGTAAATACTAATCTGACACAATTTTAATTATGGGAAACTTTGTAACACTGTCTTTCTTACTTGAATAATGGTGATAATATAATAGTGTCATAATGAGAGCTACCATTTATTGAGTGCTTACAGCGTGCCAAGCCTGTGCAAATTCTTTATGGGTATCATTTTTGATTCTCCCAACAAACCTATCATGTAAGCATCATTATGCCCATTTTACAGACAAGGAAACAAAACTCTTCGAGATGAAAAATGCTGGGTGTCAAAGGATTTGTAGGTCTTTGGACACAGTTGTTTCCAGAAAGACACCCGATTTCCAGATGCCAGAACCAAAGACAGAGTTGAAACAATGGCTGGTTTAAAGGCAGGTCAGCCCCAAAGCAGGAAAGGCATCCCAGGGCTGCCTAGGAGGGTAAGGACTCTTCCTTGGCTCTAAGATCCTCTAGACAGAGGCTGGAGGTCCATCCATGGGCAGTACTGAGAAGCATGTAAGAGATTTTATTAAGACTGTAGCCCAGCCAGGCTCCTCTGTCCATGGGATTTTCCAGGCAACATTACTGAACTGGGTTGCTATGAAACTTTAAACTGTGCTAATCAGAATAATCAATTACCTATGTTCACACAACAAACATTTATATAAATAAAATATTGGGTCAGCTAAAAAGTTTCATACAAATTTTTCTACAAGTGCTTAAGGAGAAACACGAGTGAACTTTTTGGCCAACCTGATAAAAACTCCATGGGTGAAGAACTCTTGTTCACTGCAGTAGCCCAGCACCTACTAACATATAAAAGGGCTCCTGAAATATTTATTGAACAGATGAATTCAACAGTGAGTCAGTAGCTAGAAGAAATGGGAAAGAAATCCTACTCTACCCACTTTCTCCACTGAATAAACAGGCAGATGTGATGCATTTATATGAGCTGTTTCCCGTTTATAATAGATGTTATGTCTCTATACTCAGCGGCAGACCAGGAATAGGGACCATATCCTTTCTGTTCTCCATTTTTTCCTCCAGTAACCATCACAGCACTTGGCATGTAGGAGGCACTCAATAAACATATTTTTAAAAAGTGAAAGAATCAATGAATAGCTTTGTTAGGGCTCCTAAACCCACATCTAAAATACCAGCTCAACAAATCTCATTGAAAGTTCTTGGCACCTGAATCAGTATCAAGTACTGAAATGAAATAAAATGCAAAGCTCTGTATCTGACAGAATACACAGACTTGTAATTACTTTTGTACATGTTCACCTCATTTTTGAGGACAGTCATTTTTTTTTTAAATTCTGTCATTGTTCTTGCTCTGCACCCAGCAAATCATAGGAACAGTCTAGGACAAACTGAAGGCTACTCCTAAAACCTAGAGAACTGAATTTATAAAACTCACAAAGGACTTTACACAAACTTAATTTAATTGGATTAAACACGAGAGGTTAGAGAAATCTTTAAGAAAACAGTTCCTGTGGCTGCAATTTTTACAGTTGCTCAGAGATCAAATTATTTTTAGGTGTAGGATTATGAAGAGACACTATGTATAGTATAAGCAAAACAAAGTTTTATGGAATCTCCATGAATGAATAATGATGCGATGCTATGCATGCTAAGTCGCTTCAGTCATGTCCGACTCTGTGTGACCCTGTTGACAGAAGCCCACCAGGCTCCTCTGTCCACGGGATTCTCTGGGCAAGAACACTGGAGTGGGCTGTCATTTCCCCCTCCTCTATGGATAATGTTAGTCACCTGTAATTAGCAGCATTTAATGATTAAAAATATTTTCATCTCTTAAGGTACTAAACATTGTTCCTAAGAGTCCTCTAGTTTTGCAAACACTCCCTGTAAGTAATATGAAAATAAAACAGTTAACCATTTTATGACCATAAGTTCCTATATACTGAAATATTTCTCTAATGGGAAGCCTTCTGTTGATTTCTCAAAACATCACTCCCACCATGGTCCCCAACCTGCTGGGACCTAAAAGACAACACACACACAGGCATCTGATTACTAAGGAGAACACCCCATAACCGAAGGAAGCTTACCGTTCTGGCTGCTAGAGTGACAAGGATTCCAGTTAAGAAAGTGAAGTAGTACCCAGGGTAGACACCGTGCCATAATGCAGACAGGATGAAGGTCAGCACTGTGGGGTACCAGGGAACCCGCTCGTAGCACACGCTGGAGACAAGAAGGTACAATGAGCCTCAGGTCAAACATATCAGGAATTTTCACCGACACCTGCATCTGTTTGGATCCAATCATGCAGAAATCACTTGATGATCCATTGATGGCAATTCTGCCTAACCCTCGTCAGCGACTTGCAGTGTAGTCCAAGCAGCCTTGAACTCTAGTTTTCTTAAACACTAAGAGTCGTGTCTGACTCTCCTGTGACCCCAAGGACTATAGCCAGCCAAGCTCCTTTATCCATGGGATTTCCCAGGAAAGAATACTGGAGTGGGTTGCCATTTCCTTCTCGAGGGGATCTTCCAGACTGGAAAGTGCCATTGGCTTTAAAAACATTTAGAACCAGATAAGCGTCCTCATTTAGTGGAAATAATTTACTTTCCACACTGGGCCCAATGCCACCTCCAACAACAACAACAAAATACTGCAGACTTTTCATCTCTCCTGGCCATGACTCCAGCACAAAATCAGCACGTCCGTTACAGGACCGCTTCAGGTCTCGGTGTCCATCGGATTCCAATCCATGAATTTGCCTTCAAGAGTGAGGGCGTTATGAGAATCCAGGAACTGCCAGGAAATACCCTGGAGAGCTCCGGCTTCTTGGTAGTTTATTAAAACGAAGTGACAGGGGACTTCCTCCCAAATCCAGTCTAAAGATTGACAGTGGTACCCTGGGGAGCAACTTCATGGTTTCCTAAATGAGACAGCCCAGATGAAAAATAAATCCCAACAGTCAAAAGTAACCGAGTTAAAACCAAAGGATCACGGCTTTCTCATTATGGGAAGAGAGGGAATGCATTTGAGGAAAGAAACAAGGATGGAATTCCACGTGTGATATTTCTTCTTAAACGAGTGGTACTTTTCATGGATGTTTATTTCTTACCTCTCTGTATCTTCATGTATGAATGAAATATTCCGTTTTCTAAAATGACTTTTAAAAAAATTTATTTTTTATATCTGTTCACATAAAAAATGTTTATGGAGAACAAGCTCCTAGCAGAGACTATAGGATTCTCAATACATTGGGGTCATTCAATACAAAGAAATAGAGGTTTATGCTAAAATGATTCACAAAATTAATAGCAATACCTTAAGGGCAAGTTTTCAAAACGTGCATGTTTAGTTTCGTTGGTTTAGTTTGGTCTGGTTGTTCTGTTCTGTCTTTTCTTTGACCCCAATGTTTTAACAAGATGAAAAATGCTACTTATCAAAAACAGTAGAACTGACAGTTTAATATTTTTATACTCTCTCTGCACTAATAGGAATAGTCATGAGCTAGTGTCTGTTGCTTCGAGGATAGCATGTCATTAGTCCCATAAGCAGTAATATTTCTAATTTTGGAATGGGTGGAAAAACAAAAAGACAGAGAAATACCAAAAATAGAAAGTTAAAAAGCATCAACATGTGGGGGGTACCATAAAGTTTTCAATGCTATAGATAAAATACACAGCAGTCTTCCGTGACGTGATGCTGACACTGCCCCTCCTTGACATCTGAGCAATGGACTCTCCTCTAGGTAAGCAGCAGCGTATCACAGAGGTTAAGAGCCTGGCTCTGGAGATGTCCTGGACTCATGCTTATTACTCCTTAGCTGTGTGACTTTGGGCAAGTTACACAAACCCTCTGTGCCTCACTTTCCTCATCTGTAAAATGGAGATAAGAAGTACCAACACTTCATGGGACTGCCATGAGGATTAAATGAGTACCTGGTACACAGGAATGGCATTAGCAAGTATTTGGTACAGTGAAATAAATATACTACATTGTGACCTTCTCAAATTATTCCTGCTTTTTTGTTGACACAGCATAGATGTTAATACCAAACAAAAGTGCCAGCTGACACGACCCAGCAGGCTACGGCTGTTCATCTAATGCTGCCCATCTAAACATATCCCAGTGCCATGAGTAACAAGGTCATTTTGGTTTTCCTTACCGCTTTAGCCAAGTAGCTGTCTGAATATTCCAGTTCTCTACGTACATTTTGAAACTTGTGGCAGTCTAGAAAGGAGAAAATAACACCTATCATTAGCTTTAAATATCCCCAGAAACGGAAAGTCCTCCCCAGAATTTCCCTGGCGGCAGGCTAGATGTGCTATTTCCACAGTGGCTGACTCAGGGGCAGCTCAGCTGCTCCAGTGTACACAGTCAGACTTTATGGGCTTCACAAGATTTCCTTTGCAACTAAAACTTGGCTCGCAGAGTCTCAATTTCTCTCAAAATCTATTTTCAAATTATAGGATGACCGAAAGAATGTTTTGTGGGTTTTCCTTCCATTCTGGTTAAACACAAAACCCAAGTCATCTGAATTTTAAAACTAAACCCTCTAAAATGGGATTTGCCACAGGAAAAGCTTCATCCTGTGAATTTAGGGCCCTTCCGGAGACACCTTGAATTCAATTCTCATCGTTTCACTCTGGGGCCAGCTGTAAACTAGGTCAGTCTGGTGCAGTTATTCTGCAAAGAGCTACACAGGTTCAAATGCTTCCAATTGTATCTAGAATAGTAAGGAGATTTCACGCATGAAGGAGTCACAATACAGAAAAGAAAACAAGAAAATATCACCCCGCCGGCATGACGCAGGTAGGTCAACCATGCAGAAAGATTCCGAAATAAGTCATAAATTGGGTTTCCTAATTCCAAAAAAAAAATATCATAAACACATGACTCAGCATCCCCCAGAACACACGCGCACAGTGAGACGGCTCTGTCCTCAGGGCCGCAGTGGAGGGGTTGGTGGGCAGCCGGAGGTCCAGGGGACCCACCCTGAAGGCCCATTTACCCTCAGCATGCCAAAGCAGCCAGCCGCGGTCCGAGAGTTTTGAGGGTGACGAGAATTTTAGTGGGAAAGGGGAGGAAAGTCATAACGCGTTGCTCTCTGACATCATCTACATAGAAAAACAAGAGAGAGAGGTCGTTCTGGAGGCTGGATCGTGTCCATTCAAAGGAAGAGAAGCCCCAGCTATCAAGAAGGTGGAGGCTGCGCCCAGGCCTCCCTGAGGCCTTGTTCCCACCGAATGTGGCTGGCGGGGGGTCAGTCTCCACCTCCCGGGCCTCCTGCCCCACACGGACATCCTCTTTCTGCCTAGACTCTCCAGTGGCACAGCCAACAGCACCCGTGGGTCTCTTGGCTGGAGAACCAGCACTTCTGTGTGTTGAGAATCACGCCCTCCGGCTGCAAGGAGGAAAACAGCCAGAGGCTTGGCATTCCCTTCAGCTCTGAGGGATGACAACGCTGAGGATATCAAGAAGGATGGGGCCCCACAGAGATCACCTCTAGAGATGGAAATGATAATACCGAGAACTGTGGTCCAAGAACAAAGCCAGCGAAAGAGAAAACACCACTCTAATTCTAGAGGCCTAAAAGCTGTGCACTGTTGCAATTCTTAAAAGCAGATGCATTATAAATGTTTCCAAAGGAACCCCAGAGAGCACTGGCAATACAATGCTAGTCTGTATCTTTGAGGAAAGGAGAATGTCACCAAGAGAAAATGACATGAAAATGTACTTTCTATAGTTGATACAACAAAAAGATTTTCCTGGCTATTTGGCAGGCTTCCCATGTGTCATTATAACTAGAACCATTAATAATGCCAAGAAAGTAGGTACCTTAAAAAAAAAAAAATATATATATATATATATGGAAGAGAGTTCTGAGATACAGAATGTTTCAGAGACTGCTGGAGCCAGCATTCCCTGATGGTGGCTTTTTCCTAGACACTAACGAGGACCTCCCATGTATATCACACTCACAGCACACCGTTTGCTGTATTCACAATGGCAGCGTCATTCGAAAGCACGATACACTCACCTCAATTTTCCAGATGTTTAGGTTAGAAAGCAGATCCCAAGAGAAATTTCCATTCTTATCCACTCCGCTGAACCCAAAGCCAGCTGCATTATTCACTGCATCAGCTATGGTTTTTAAAACAACACATTAGGATGTGGGACAAAAGTCACATTGCTGCTTTCAAAGATAACTAAATGTCTGTCTAGCTTTAAGAGTAAGAGAGATGGCTGCAGTTTCCTTGAGTAAGAAACCAAAATAAATTTACAGGATCTCCTGGTACTACTAAAAGAGTTTTGGCTCTTGGGTGACGTCAACTTTTATTCATTCATTTCTATTCATTCACTAGCATTTCATGAGCACCTGCTAAGTAAGAAGGAAGATGCTCACAGAATGTGCAGAATGAGGAAAAGAAATGAAGAAACAAAGAAACAGCAAGATTTAGAGGCCAACTAGATATAAGGGGTGAAAGGGGAAAAGGTGGAATTATTTACATATAAGCTCAGAAGAGAGGGAACTCCATCCAAGAGCTGTCATTAAAGATGGTAGGAGACAGGCTATCGATAGCATCACATCTGGAAGAGAAGCAGCTCTGAAAGAGAAACTGAAGCTCATTCTGGACATGTTAAACATGACACGTCATTATCAGTTGGGATGGCCAAGATACAGTTAGAACAATTTAGAACTTATGACAAAGAATAGTACCAGAGCTATGAATTTGGAGGCAGCTGCCATAAAGGCCACATGCATATATGCTAAGTCACTTCAGTCAGTGTACGACTCTTTGCTACCCCATGGACTGTAGCCCACCAGGCTCCTCTGTCCGTGGGATTCTCCAGGCAAGAAGATTGGAGTGGGTTGCCATGCCCTTCTCCAGGGGATCTTCCTGACCCAGGGATCAAACCCACATCTCTTATGTCTTCTACATTGGTAGGCGGGTTCTTTTCTATGAGCTCCACCTGGGAAGCCCGCCAAAGAGGCCACACGTGGATGCAATGACCAAAGCCACCCTACCCACAAAGTCAGTCTAAAGGCTCCTGTGTCCACCTTTACTTGACTTCACTGAACTCTGTGAAACCGTCCCCCTGCTGTATTTCATTTCTAATCAGTTCCTTGATGATATTTTTTACACTCAAAGAGAGACCTGGTGAAATCAACACACTTGTATTATGATGGCCAAGATATCTTCTTTCAAGTTTACTGTTAGAATAGTTCCTTAAAAATAATCAAATGAGCTTTTTAACAGAAAAATATGGTCATATTAACAGATACAGAGATGACATTCCATAGAATTCATCTTTTCCTAATGAAAAACAAACAACATCCCCTCATCAAAACCCCTAAACCTGTGCAGAGAAGAGAGTTTGTTTAACTTAATAAAGCACTCTACAGAGAACAAATAAAAAAGCAGCAAATGTACTTACTTGATGCCTGCTTCCAACTTTTGACAGTTATGAATAAAGCTGCTATAAACATAAAAAATCAAACTAATGAAGTTGGAGAGCCTGAGATCTGGGGGAGATGTCAGAGAAACCCTTCCCATAGCTTTGGTCATTCCATTTCTAGGGGAGTTCAGGTCCAACTCACGTCGGACTTCTGAAGGGCCAGTGGGAAGAAAAACCACCCCCTCGAAGTTGGCCTGCTTTCCTTTTGGCATTGTTGATGACTTAAAACTGCTTATCTTACGCTTAGCTTTACTGTAAAATATCTGGTTTATTTCAGAGAAGGGAGGAAAGAAAGGAGTCCCGAAATCTCTTCCTCCCATGCAGACTGGAGGGAAATTCGGTGGAAGAGGAGGACGACACAGCCAGGGTGTAGCAGCTAAGAGACCACGAATTTACACTGTGTGGGCACAAACAGTGAAGCACAGAATTAAACAAAACCAGGGGAGGACACGCTCCCGAGGGCTGGGCTGACGGTGCTGGGATCAGCACAGCAATCCAGGCATGCCCTGTCCCGGCTCCAGCCTCAGATCTAACACCCACAGAAGAATAACAACTTTTTTTTTTTTGGTCCTTAAATATTTCCCCAGGATTCTGAAAAGCATTCCACAGACATTTCTCATTTAACGCTCACAATGGTGTGAAGATGGTGGCTCACACTACCATCGTCGTGGGAATGGTGATATCTTGGGTTCCTTTCTCCACTTGGGAGCGGGGTCAATTCACAGCCTTGGGAGAGCTGTCTAACTTCTAGGAAACTGTTCTCATGAGTGGATGTCATAACATTGTACCTATATTACCATTGTACCACACTGTACCTATTTTAAAGGGATGTTGAAAGGATTAAACCAAATTGAATATATGTAGAGTGCATAATACAGGGCCTGGCCGAAGTCAACATTCAAGAATGGTTAGCTGCCACCATCATCATTATTACTGCCACCCCCATCTTGTTAGTAAGGCAGCTAAAGCTGAGTGACGTTAACATTAAGATCACGCAGTCCCGCCAGGCGTGCAGGACTTCCCTGGTGGGCCAGTGGTTACGACTTCGCCTTCCAATGCAGGTTCGATTCCCTGGGTGGGGAGCCAAGATCCCACATGCCTTCAGCTCAAAAAAACCAAAACATAAAACCAATGCAATACTGTAACAAACACAATAAAAACTATAAAAATGGTCCACATCAAAAAAAAAAAAAAAAGAAAAGATCACTCAGGTGGTAAAATTCTGATTCCACCAGCCTGATATTGGCTAGGAGCCATCTGAAAGATAAATGTAAGAACCAGAAGAGGTGACTCAGAACTGCCGCATTTATACATGGTTGGAATTCCCTGCTCCCCTTAGTGCATCCTGCCACCTTTTATCCAAGACTGTTCTTGCCTTAGAGCAGTTAGAATGTCTAAGTTCACCAATCCAAAACTGGCTTCACTTGCATTCTACACGGCCCTAACATATAACGGAAGATAAATTCGCTGGACACCCCTATTTGGGCATCTTTGATCTTTAGAACACAGCCTGGGCTATAATTGAGCCTCACCAATTAGTACTCATTAGTAGGAGAAAAAACACTAGCCTCAAATGCTAAGTCCAAAGAAAACAGCTCTATTCTTTCGATAGAAACGGTAACTACATCTAGACGTACACAGTGCAAGTCAGCTGAGATTCATCAAGAGGCCAGCTTTAAGGATTAAATTTATAACTGTGTATAATTAGTACATCAATTATATGGAAATGGTGTTTGAAGGAGCTGGATAAAACAATTATTCGGTTAAGCAGTTTAAATATTCCCTGTTACACTATTCATTGCATCTTTACTCATAAATAATACAAAGGTTAATTTCAGACCAGCCCATGCAATCTAAACTATTACAAACCTCAAATTGAGGCCATGCAAATTAAGGAAGCATTTCTACTGAAGCTACCAAAAACAATGAAGAAAGGGTGGTGGGGAAGAAAAGACAAAGAGGTAAGTCCACAGCGAAAGCAAGCCGTGGGAAGGGTTATTTCTCTTCTCTAAGTATCTGGGGTCACTCCACAAAGAACAGAGTGAGGCTGGACACCCCTGTGCCCTGTAACCGCCTCCCCACCCAGATTCCCGCCAGCACAACCCACCTCGTGTTAGACTTGCCCCACGAGGCCACAGAATGGCCTTTCTTTCCTCCTTAAATCAGGAGCCGATTAGTCCAGAAGCCAGCCCATAAGCCCTGGGGTACAGAATATGGGAGCAGGAACGGGAGGAAGAAGAGGGAAAGAAAGGGAAGAAAAGCGAAGAAGCAGAAGTTAGGACAGGAGTGAGAGATTCTATCACACACCCTCTCCAGGTTGGAGCAAGGGGAAAAGTCTACTTAACAAAGAAAAACACGCTCAGTGTTCCCAGGAGAGCTCCATCCATCGGAGGCATCATGCCTACCTACTACGGAAATGACTCTTCAGTAATAAAGCATCTGCAGGAAAGGCAATCAGATACAAGGAGACAAGGACCAGTCCATACGCATCATCTCCTCTGTCATCCTGTCACAGCTCTGGGGGTGTACTGCCTGGTGGGTATACATGTCTGTGGCCCCACCGAGTGCAATGACCTTGAGGGCTGAGATGTCCTACCTTTGAGTTCCTCATAGCACACAGTCTGGTACTCAACAAAAACTCCTTGCATTCAACTGAATGGGACCGGGAACAAACTTTCCCACACAGCAAATTCTGGAAAAGCTCTTACATCTCTCTCTGGTCAAGAGTGACATATATTCTGCACTGGACTGCACTTGTCTCTGAACACTGTGACCTTTAAAAAATCATTTGGACCAGGAGCAGGGAAGAAAGAGGAATGGGGGATTACTGCTTTGTTGAAAGGACAGAGTTTCTGTTTCAGGTGATGGAGAAAGTTCTGGAGATGGATGGTGGTGATGACTGCATTATTGTGAGCAAACTTAATGCCATTAAGTTACACACTATAGGTGGTTAAAATGGCAAATTTTACATTACATATATTTTACCACAATAAAAAATGATAAATGAATAAATCAGTAGTTACAAACAATTCAGGTGCTAAAAACTTAAGAGTGTGAAATGAGAGAATTCAGTGAAGGGCTGCACCCTTATGGAATATGGTCTAACTACTACGGACGGAGTTTAATAATCTACTTGACTTCATAAACCAAGTCACTGCTCCTGACATCAGGCCCCACGTCACTTGCAGCTAAGGTGTTAAACTTCCCTTCCTGAAAGTCTTCCAAATGTGAAGTAGATATTCCCTATGGTTACCATGCTTTATCAAAATACTTTACCATTCTTGGTATGTAAATAGAAGGTTTATTGCTCACCTTAGCAAAGGTTTAAACTTTTCTAGTGTAAAAGTCTTTAAAAGGAAAGATATAAATGCTTAATATTGACTAAAGTTACCTCACAGGGGAAAAAGAAAACTGTGATAATACCCAATTAAGTGGAACTTTCTACCTTAAAAAAAAAAAAAAAATCACTTGAAATCAGCTTCTTTCTAAGGCATAAAGCTTAACCAACCATTTCTTTAGAAGTTCAACCTAAATTACCACACTTATGGGTAAAATTCGGCCTGTATCCTGTATTACAGACAACCCAGAAAAATTACAAGAAAGCCAGATCATTCTGGAATTTTCCCCTAACTTTCCATTGCCCTAAATAGCCAAGTTTGATGGGTAGGCCCAGCAGCTTCCAAGGTTTGACATCTGTTAATAGCACTGGGTTTAAACAATAGCCAGGATTTCTTTTCTCCTTATCACAGATAATTGAGAGGAGGGTTACCCTGGAAAGTACAGAGTCAGGAGTCCTGGCTCAACTGCCTTCCGTTACACACCAGACTTTTTCTTTTTTGGATTAAGTGATCCAAATGTTGCTCTGGCCAAGCCCTCCAAGGAGTAGCATTTTTTTCCTCATGTGTTCAGCGTCCTCCAGCCAACTCACCTAATGTCCAGGCAAAGTAATACTTGGGCTTGGAGGCTTGCATGACAACGTATAAATAGCAGAGTCGGGTCAGAAAGTTTGCTTCATGAACAAACCAGTCGTCAGCCAGGGAGGTGACAGGGAAGGTCTTCGTCAGCGTCAGAAACAAAAGGAGAGATGCCAAGGTCATGCACAGCTTGTGCATCACGGCTCCCTGGAAATGGGGGAGAAGAATGGATCACTATTCAGGAGACACTGGTGCGTGGAAAACAATTTCAGCACAGGCATGCTAAGAATAAAGCTGCTCCATGGATGCTGCGGTAATCGTCTCTAGATGAAGGGCATTCTTCCTCAGGGCACAGTTTCAGATGATGGGCACATGCTATATTTAGATGCAGGATACGCCTCTGACACCCCAGGAAGGGATGGATCTTAAAAAAAAGAAAACTCTTACCAGCACATTCTACCATCAAAGGTCAGGTGGTTTTATTACCCAAGTGAGTGACCACTTGCGCAGTCGGGTCCGACTCTTTGCAAGCCCACCAGGCTCCTCTGTCCATGGGGTTCTCCAGGCAAGAATACTGGAGTGGGTTGCAATTTCCTTCTCCAGGGGATCTTTCTGACCCAGGGATTGAACCTGGGTCTCCTGTGTTGCAGGCGGATTCTTTACCGTCTGAGCCATTAGAGAAGCCCCCCAAACATACGCAAAAGCAGTAACATTACAGGGTGGCCATCTTCCATCAGAAAGAAAGAGCCTCTGGCCTGCTGGTCCCGCAGCCGGCACAGCCAAGGAAATGGGCCTGAGTCACCAGCAAGGAGCACAGAGGCTTGGTTAGGAAGGATTCCGGGCACGTGGCTACATGTCTGAGCCAGGGCTGGGCAGGCAGCCTTACGGACCCTTTCCGGATGGTCTCCATGCAGTCTGCTCTGCGGTTGAGATGTACTGAGGTTTTCAACTCCCCTGGATGGAGTCATTTTGCCCAGATCCCCTGACATCCTGGGATGTCCGCTAACACCCAAAGAATTATAGTCCCCAACTTTATAAAAGAGACTACTTTTATTTGTAACAGCGCCTGCCTCACAGGGTGGCTTGGGGTTTCAGCGCAGGACTGTTTACTAGGAACTGAGAATAGTGCCGGATTCCCGGCATCTCGCAGTAAAGCACATCACGCTTAACTAACTGTTCACCACTAGCGTGCACCAGCCCCTCACATCCATGTGTCTTTGGCCAAAATGCAAGTTCAGAGCTTCCTGTTCTCTGTGCCCAAAAATGCAAGAGTCTCCTTGGAGGGTGACCTGAAGACTCTCTGATAATATTATTTTCCAAATAATGTGACACAGAACTCCTGTGACCGACCCTGCATATAAGCGCCTGTGGTTACTCAGATGACGCCCACCAGTGACCTCCCTCCTCGATTCTGTCGTAAAGGTCTCTGATTCACCATACAGTGCAGAGGGCCTGACTGTGTCAAAACTCTCAGAAAACATATGTTTCATCAGTCATTTAAATTTTCAAATACTTAATGTTGCCTGACTGGCATTTTATAAATATTTAAATTATCCTCAATTTCTCCCTTTCCAACGTTTCTCATTCTTTCCATTAATTGCAAATTTTCCTTAAATATAGGATATCTGGTCTGGATACGTTCAGCAGATTTGCAAACTTCAATGAGTTATCCTCATGTTGACTGATTTGAGATTAATACACTTCAAATTAAAACATTATTTCTAAAAAACACCTTCAACTGTCTACAAGTCAATAAGATGAAGCTTACTGACTATAAGGCATGCTGGTATAAAGCTGGTTTCCCTTGCCATAGTAAGACTCTGAAATAAAAAGCACATTTATTTTGGTTCCCACTCTTTCCCCCTTCACCATTTATGACATAGTATCCTTTGGCTGTCTATGAATTTCTATTCATAAAGACACATTTGAAGGTATTAACTAGCACCATTGTAGGTACATCATAGGCAGTAAATACTGGCTGGTTGGCAAGTAGATTAATTGCTGTAATATTTCCAGCCAATGAGCTTCTCTGGGAAATAAACTCCTGTTGCTCCAACAGGGAGAACTCCTGCAAATAAATACCAATGTTGATATTTTAAACAGGGGGGAAAAGTTATGGGCTAAGCTTTCTGGAAACTGTTTGGCTTTTTAATTAGAACAATTAAAAGTGACCATCAGCCCTGGCAGCAAAGCTGTATTTTCTAGACCTCTGGATAAATACTTGGCACTAAAAAAAAACTTACAGTGGGAGAAGGTTCTGGCAGACTGTGGAAGCCTTTTTCCTTCCAGTTGACTTCCAGCAACTTCATGTGTGTGTGTCTCCCCTCAATGAAGGCTATATAATCCTTGAAATTGTTACAAGGGCCTGCTATGATACTCATGAAGTTGAGAAGGTAGCTCACATATTCCAAAAAGGAGGGTTTTGCTCTGCGAAAATAAAGTGAAAAGTTGAAGAGTCTTCAGTCTTTGATTTTTCTTTCGTATCTGCAAATATGCCCGTTGTAAAGACAGGTGTTGTCTCTGTAGCTAGTTAAATGCTACACGCTCTTTCTTTGTTCTGTTTCTTTAAAAACCCACCTAAGAGAGAAATGTAGTTGAAAGGAAGTTTAAGGTGAGTGGCTCAGAGACGGCACAGCACTCCATGGCGCCCTCTGCTGGCCAACTGCAGCTCTACACGCGGAGGGCCAGGCCAGGACAAAGGCAGCCTTGAGGCTGGGAACAAACATTCTTTCTGGGCAAACTCAGCTGTCTGTCCATGTTCACCCGAGAAAATGAAGGTAATAAACATCAGGCAGGGTGGGAGCCCGGCCTAATGTGACTTGGTCGAGATGGTGTGAGATGGGAAAACTCCCTCCCAACTGCCAAAATAAATACAAAACAAATGATGGGTGGAACTGGTTTCCACTTGAAGAGGCCACACAAAACTACTGCGGCAGCAGTCTCCTGTCTGCTTTGGCCTCCAGGCGTGACGTCCTGGCCAACAGACAAGGGTAGTGGCAGGAAAACACTGCAGAGACCAGTTGTGTCTAGTGTGTTAATGGCATTTTAAAGGACAGGCTNACTGAGCGGCTGAACTGAACTCTCTGGTAGGAGCTCTCCACCGTGGCTGCACCACCCTCCCCCACGTGCCACTTCAGCTGCCTTATCAGTGCTGTTCCCTTCTTTACACGGCCTCCCTTCCTCTCTGACACCCACCCCCTCTCTACTTCACATCAACACTGGCCAAAATCCACCTTCAAACTTTAGCCTCCTCCTTCCTCCTCCTGCCCAGCCCATATTTCTCTCTCCAACCCTATATCCTATCTTTTTTTATGCCAGCATAATCATACTGATGGGCACAGATAAGTGACTGCTTCTTGAGGACGCCCCCCAGCTCTAGATACATGCCCAATAAAAATAATCCTGGAATAAGCAGAACAACCGCAGTGAAGAAGAATCCTGGGAAACTAAGAAAATTACAGAGCCACTGACCCTTTAATAGAGGAAACCTATCCCACAACTACACCCAAATCCATTTAAAATGACCTATGAACAAGGTTATCATGGTTTGCCATTTATAAAAGCCAAAGACTGGCAGACAACCCAGTCTACTGATTGTCCATCAACAGTAGCTTCATTCCATAAACAATATTACATCCATTTAAACAAGGAAGAGCTCTGAATACTGATGCCCAAAGGGCTCAAGACTATACCATCAAACTTACTTTACAGCAAGTCGATGTTGTTCGCTGGAAAGATCTGCAGCCCTTCGACCTAATCCTATGAAAAGAAACATTTAGAAATAAGAGATTTTGAGTGAGGTAGATCACTACATCCTAAAAGAGGCTGATAAAAACTCATTTGAAAGAAATGATTCATTTTTATTTCATCAGTCATAAAGAGTCTTTGTTTTCCTTTTTTAAAAAAATTTATTTAATTAGAGGCTAACTACCTCACAATATTGTATTGGTTTTGCCATATATTGACATGAATCAGCCATGGGTGTACATGTGCTCCCCATCCTGAACCCCCCTCCCACCTTCTTCCCCATCCCACCCCTCAGGGTCATCCCAGTGCACCAGCCCTGAGCACCCTGTCTCATGCGTCGAACCTGGACTGGCGATCTGTTTCACATAGGATAATACACATGTTTCAATGCCATTCTCCCAAACCATCCCACCCTCGCCTTCTCCCACAGAGTCCAAAAGTCTGTTCTATACATCTGTCTCTCTTTTGCTGTCTTGCATACAGGGTTATCGTTACCATCTTTCTAAATTCCATATATATGTGTTGGGCTGCTTATAAGTACATGAGTGAGGAGGAAAGTCTTTATAGGTTCTTAGGAAGAGGGGAGGATTCGGAGGTTACCCTTATTTAATTCGCCAGGATGAACAGGGATCTACACTGCATATGCTCCTTACCATGCTAAGGTTTTCACTGCTACGTGAGACACAGGCTCCCTTTGCTGCCTGCGCTTGCTAACTGCCAACCAGATTATGCTCGTACAGACACCTGCTAGACACTGAGAATGGAATGGAGTGGGAAACGAATAGGGGACTTTCCTCTTGCAAAGGAAAAAAAACAGGAAATGTAACCCTGAATGCAGGGAAAACACCAAAGAATTATCAGGAGGTTTTCTTCTCTTAAAACGCACCCATGCCAGAACTCCCAACCAAGTCACACTTGTGCCTCCTAGAAAATTCCTATGTTAACTTACAGTCAAGGAAACCAAACTGTCATCTTAAAAGCAAAAGAATTCAACTTTAAAACTGTATATTTAGCTAAGACAGATTATGGTCAACAACCACCAACACAACTCAAAAACATGCCTAAGAGAAGGCAGACTGTTTCTGGAATTTACTTGTTCCGCCCACACACAAGAAAGAAAAAAAGGCAAATAAACATTTTGCTGCATGTAAGGGATATTCTAAAAACAAAAAATAGGGTAAACTGAGAATGCTTTAAAAAGTAAATTCAGGCAAAAACCTATGTATTAAAAACAAAAGCAAGAAGGAATGTTGATTAAACAAAATCACACTCACTTTTTTCTAAGATCTCATCAAATAGTCCAGCTCTGGCAATCTAAGGAGGGCTTCCCTGATAGTTCAGTTGGTAAAGAATCCGTGTGTAATGCAGGAGACCCAGGTTCGATTCCTGGGTCGGGAAGATCTGCTGGAGAAGGGATAGGCTACCCACTCCAGCAATCTCAGCATTTAAATTGATTTTAGCTTATTGACTTATGGCGCTACTATGAGTCTATAACTACAATCAAATGGTTCTCAGGTACAAAAACATTGACCAACTCACTCCATTTTGCCCAGGACTTTGCCAATTGGGGCACTAAATATCTCCTGTCCTGGGAAACCCTGGGTTCTGAGCAGACCCGGATTAGCTGGTCAGTGTAGAAAGACTCCATCCTCAGAATAAAATCACTCAGTTCTCTAGAGAATGACTAATCACCAAGTATGAACTGGGAATAAACAGGGTCAAAATGAAATTAAATCAGTTCTCAAGCTTTAAGGAAAAACAAGAAGACTCGCTAGTGGGGACTAAATCTTCCCAATGTGTCAACACATAAAGAAGTTTCAACAATCGGAAAGCATTTGTTACAGCCCTACAAACCCAAAGAAGACATCCTTACTAATCGCACCTGCATCTCTTAAGCCCATATTGAGACCTTCCTCCGGGCTAGAAGCGCCACCCTCCTTTCCTGGAACCCAGTGTTAACACTGGAAATAATCATACTTTCTGGCCATTATCAAGAAAGGCCCAAGTGAAGAAAATGTTCAGTTTTTAGACAAACAGAAGGTTCTTCCTCTTGCCAGCTTTTTACAGGTTTGGGCCAATCTCATTAGATAATTCTCCAAGCCAAAAAAAAAAAAAAGGTAACTTAACTAGCCAATGCTGTTTCATCTTTTATTACCTTCTGAGCTTCTCAGAGATGAACCCAAAGGACAAAGGATGACATTTCTTCTGGACAGATTTGGAAATCAAGGGCAGAGAGTACCACAAAATTAACTGTAATTTAAAACATCATAAAGCTAAACTGAAAACCCACTGTTCCCGATGCAAATGTTTCAGCAAAGGCTACAGATTCAGCAGTGGAGTGGTAGGTCACGGCTGGGAAAGTAAAAAGCTATGATTAATCTGAGTTGCAAAAAAATTTTTTTTTTACAACATATAACAAGATCTGCCAGCCCTTGTCTAAACTTTAGGCTGTGTATACAGTGGAAAAGAAGAACTCTGAAGGTCAAGCTCACTCTTAGACCCAAAAGGAGGGCTGCTGTTCTTACCGTCATGAACTTGGAATGCCAAGGTTGTGATCTTCTGAGTAACAATCATCAGAGGCCTAAAAGGAAGATAGAAAATAATGAAGACTGGCCACATCGCCACGGGAGAAAATGTTTTTTCCAGCTCTGGTCCTGGTAGTTTCTCACCGTGAAGGTTATTAAGTAAAATACAAAAACCATGGAATTCAAAACATTTTTTCCCCTTCCAAATCACCTTAAATAAGTACAGAGAACAAGTGAACAGCAAGATCACCCTGAAAAGTCTCTCTCGTATTTTGACTCGAAGCTAAGTTCCAGGACCAACATTGCCAGCATCTCCTGGAGCTTGTCTGAAATGCTGAAGCTCATGCTCCAACCCCAACCAGAAAATGAGAACCTGAATTTTAACAAGATCTCCATGGAATTCAAATGCATGTTTAAGTATAATCAGCACTAGTCTGGATGGGTATATTTTTTGGTTTCTTCATCCTAATATGGTCTAACATGGTTTGTTCTATTTAAAGGCAATTCTTCCATGCACACATAGTAAAGAAAAAAAAAATACATTTGTAAAATGTAGCTTCCTGTAAATAAAGCATTCAGTGACCTAAAATAGCAACAATCTTAATTTGAGGGGAAAAAAAATCTTAAGAAGTGACACCCATATCAACAAGGGTGCCAAGATAGTTCAATGGAGGCAAGAATAGTCTTTCAACAAATAGTGATGGGACAACTAGACAGCCACATAAAAAGCATACTGAAAGTAACTAAAAATGGTTCAAAGGTCTAAATGTAAGAGCTAAAACTACAAAACTCTTACAAGAAAACACAGGCATAAGTCTTCATGGCCTTCAATGTGGCAACAGCCTTTCAGATATAACACCAAAAGCATAAGTAACAAAAGAGAAAGAAAACAGAGTAAATGGATGTCATTAAAACTTAAATTTTTTGTGCTTCAAAGTACACACACCATCAAAAAAAGTGAAACGACATTTCACAGAATATACAAACATATGTGAAAATCATATATCTGCTAAAGAACCGGTATTAGACTACACCAAGAACTCTTCCAAATTGAAAATAAAAAGACAAAAATAACCAGTTTAAATGGCCAAAAGCTCTGAATGGACATTGATCTTAAAGAAAAGATATACAAGTGGTGAATAAACACATGAAAAGATGTTCCACTGTCATCAACCATCAGAGAAACACAAATCAAAACCATGAGACACCACTTGGCAAGCACTAGGATGACCAGAATCAAAAAGACAGGTGGTTTTGGCCACAAGGCGGAGAACTGGAACCCCCATACCTTACTGGTGGGGATATTTCAAGCAGAGTGCTGCTTGAAAAGCACTCTGCCAGTTTCTCAAAAAGTTAGACATAGAATTAACCATATGACCAAGCAATTCCACTCCTAGGTATATACCCATGATGTGTCTATACATAAACTTGTACATACATGTTCAGAGCAACATTATTCAAAACAGCCCAAAAGGAACAACCCAAATAACCCAAATGTTATATAAATACATTTTATTTATCCATTCATTAGTTGATGGGTGTTTGTATCATTCCTTTCAGGCTGTTTTAATAGTGTTGTTCTGAACATGTATGTACAAGTCTATGTGTAGACATATTTTTCTTTCTCATCAACTGATGGACAAATAAAATGTGATATGTCCATCCAGGGCTTCCCTGGTAGGCTCAGCAGTAAAGAATCTGCCTACAATGCAGGAGATGTGGGTTTGATCCCTGGGCCAGGAAAATCCCCTGGAGGAGGAAATAGCAACCCACTCCAGTACTCTTGCCTGTAAAATTCGCTAGACAGAGGAGCCTGGCGGGCTACAGTTTGTGGGGTCACAAAGAGTCGGCCACGACTGAGCACAGCAGACAGTCACACACACACACACACACACGTGTCCATCCAACAGAACATTCAATAATTCAATAGAAACAATGAAGCACTGCTACATGCTACAGTATGGATAGACCTTGACACCATTATGCTAAGTGAAAGGAGCCAGATCTCAATGGCCACATATTATATGATTCCATTTATGTAAAATGCCTAGAAGAGGCAAATCTATAGAGAAATGAAATAGACTGCTGGTTGCCCAAGACTAGGGAAAGGGAGGAAATGAGCAGTGATAGTTAATGCACACAAGTTTCTTTGGGTAGGAGGGTGATGAAAATGTAAAATTAACTACTGTAAATGGTTACACTCTAAATTCACTCTGCGTACATGCTAAAACCTGCTGAATTGTGTCCTTCAAATGGATGAATTGTATGGTACGTGAATTATATCTCAATAAAGCTGCAGTTTGGTTTTTCTAATCATCTGGTCTAGCTCAGTACCTTTAATAGCTCTATTCTTGCCCCATAAGACAAGATAAAATCTCACCGCCCAATTATCATACCTCCCGCTAAACCTTGTAAGTTTAGCGTGGTTTTCTGACCTCCATCCTCACGGCTTCTTTCTGAACTTGCCATCTCTAACCCGTCTGTTCTGAGGGCTCATTTACATACAAAGCTGAGGCTTGGTCACTGTCCTGTGACTGCATCTGCAATATGCAGCACAGCCTCCTGGCCCCGGGCTCAGGCCAGGCCCGGGTGTGCGAGGATGCGAGTGGACACGAAGCATCCTTAGGCCAAAGCTGATGTGTCTGCTGTACTCAGCCCCCTCTCTGTGAGGTCATTTTCTTCTTTAACTCCTCTGGTTCCCATTTCCATCTCCTTAAAAGAGTAAGCATGTAATATTTTAAACTACCAGGGTAAACTAAGAAGATACACTATTTTAAAGAGCATGTCAACAAAGGCCCTTTGAAATCTTAACACCTACACCCAACTTTATATCTTATTTGCAAAAGCCCCACCACCACCATTTGAAACCAGAGTCCTCACACTGTGAGAGGTGAAGAGCAGGGGAAGTGAGTGGTCTGCCTGTGGGAGGGAGGGGCGGCTTGCTCTCCGGGGACTGGGGTGGACAGGGGGCCCCCAGAGTGGTCACTCTAGGGCAACAAGACAGCTCACAGCTGACACTGATTTTGATCACACTGTTATATAGTGAGAAAAAAAAAAAATAACTTGTTTCCGGACGTTGGGGTTTTGGTTCTTAAAGTAAGGACTACATCAAAACTTTCTATAAGAGCAATTTGGCCTTATAGACCAATATAACCTCACAGCTTGTCTTCTTGATATTCTACCAGACTTCTAACCCAGAATGTATAACAGATGCCAAGGGCCATTTATCTTGAAAGGGACTCATCCTAAGCATCACATTCCAAGTAGTTGCCAAACATGTCCTTTTTTTCCCCAAAGCCTTTTTGTCCTGTAAGACTCTAACTCTGAGGAATCGGGAATAGGACCTAAGCTCCCAGCCTTCTTTACACAAGTGAAATGAGTGAAGTCGCTCAGCTGTGTCCGACTCTTTGTGACCCCGTGGACTGTAGCCCACCGGGCTCCTCCGTCCATGGGATTCTCCAGGCAAGAGTACTGGAGTGGGTTACTATTTCCTTCTCCAGGGGATCTTCCCGACCCAGGTCTTCCCTAACCTGGGTCTCCCGCATTGGAGGCAGACACTTTAACCTCTGAGCCACCAGGGCCCAGCACAATTTTTTTTGTATTCTGAGACACACATTCTGATGACCATGCAATTTGCAAACCGAGTTTCTACATTTAATTTATAACTTCATTTTTAAAGGGCCTATAATATTGATATATCCATAAAGAAAATGTGTCACAGAATTAGCTTGCCTTTCTCTCTACAGAAGACAGATGGATGGATAAAGAACATATGGTACATATATACAATGGAATATTACTCAGCCATTAAAAAGAATGAAATTATGCCATTTGCAACAACATGGAAGAACATGGACATGATCAAACTAAGTTAATTAAGTCAGAGAAACACAAATATCATATCACTTATATGTAGAATCTTTAAAAATTGATACAGATGAACTTATTTACAAAACAGAAACAGATTCATAGGCTTAGAAAATGAATATGGTTACCAGTGGGGAAAAATGAGGTGTGGGGTGGGGAGGATAGATTGGGAGTTTTGGATGGACATGTACACAATGCTATAATTAAAATAGAAACCAACAAGGACCTACTGTATTGCACAGGGAACACTATTTTGTAATAACCTAAATGGGAAAAGAATTTGAAAAAAGGATACATATTTATCATTGAATCACTTTGCTATACACCTGAAACTAACAACATTGCCTATCAACCACACTCTAATATAAAATTAAAAAAAAAATTTTTAAGAAATGTAACATTTCTTTTCCTTTACCTGGGGTTGGATTCGATGTAATCCACAATGAGACACATGTTCAGCAAAGCGTTTAGTATCTATTCACAGAAACAGTGGGCTGAGAAAGCAGCTCTCTGATTGGCTGCTGGGGATGCGTAATTCACTGGCTCCAGCTACCTCCTATGGTTCCACCGCCTTGCTGGTGCTGAGCCCACGTCTCCTGAGGCTGTGTCCAGGCAATGACTGAGCACAGCTGGGTACCCAGCAGGACCCTCCAGGCCCGGTATGGTGCTCCTCAGCTGGGGATTCGAGCTCGAGGACTTATCACTGAACTCGCTGAAATATTACTAGAACTGCACTGTAGTCCAAGACCTCAGCCCCCTCCTTTCCTCTCCGTCTCAGGGGCCAGAGGGGCATTTCCATCTGACGGCTCTCCCAGATGGAAGAGCCTCCCTGTTTAGCTGCCTCCACGTTTTCCCTCACAGGTATTTCACCCAGCACATCTCATACTTCTGTTCCCACCTTGGCATCCACTTCTCATGGAACCCAGACTAGCAAAATGTGTAATAGTAAATATCTGGATCAATGTAAATGAGTAACAATTATTCCATATGAAATCTGTACCTTTAGGTCTATGTAAGAATCATATCATTCTTGATGAAAAAAATCTCCCTTCTGGGGGGCAAAAGAAAGAAGCCATGGGTCAAATATTGTTACTCATCACCCAGACTATACTTTCAATAATACAATGTTTCTGTTTGAAATATCTGAAGAAAGTTCTAGCAACTTATATAAGAAACAACTCACACATGG